CTCTGCTTGCATCAGAACAAAGCAATGTCAGCAGTTTTCTTCTAAGAGTGATGAACCCCTATTAATTCGAAGCATCTGCTTGTTGGCTGCTCTGRGTCCTTCGCTTTGCGAGGAGGCTTCACGTTGCAGACTTTCTGCTTGGGCTCCAGCCAAGGATGCTCACAGTCTGCTTGAGTTTCTGAGAATATTCTGTGCCACACTTTGTGGCTGCCCCTTGGACTTTCCAGATCTTCTTGGTTTTGTTCAGGCTATGGCAGATGCTCATCCCCTGAGAGGAGCAGAGCAGACATTGCTGTGTAGCCAGAGCTACCCTCCCTGGTCCCCATCACCAGCCCGCCCTGGCTCTGGCATTCACAGAGGTGCTTTGGGATGGCTTTGCTCCTCTGAGATATCTATGCAGCTTAAGATAAAGGTTTTTCTCCTCCAAAGAGATGTGATGTCTCTCCCCGAAGGAACTGCATTTATTCCTCCCTCGGTTGCCTCTAGAGTTGCTAGACTGGGAAGAGAGCCTTGACTACAATGTTCACATTCAGTGTCTTAACACCTCACAATTTGATTTCATCTTGTCCCTCCAAACTGAACTCCCAGTCTAGTAGYGTTAGGCCCCAAAATGGGCCTTACATCAAAGTAAATGATGCTCCTTCTGGATGAAATGCAAGCAGTATTAGAGGCTTGGCAGGAAGGAGGACAGTGAGGGGAGTGGGAAAGATGACAGGGAAGAGAGAAGTGGAGAAGAACACTTCCTTTTCTTCTCAAAATTAGAGCCAACGTTACATGGGCAGCTACTATGAGATGACTAAGAGCAAACTCAGCCTTTCTTCCAGCCCAGAACAGGGCATTCCCTTGGCAAGCAGATCTCGCTGCTGTGGCTGATGCCCATCTGTGACCACAAGCAATATAACTCACCCTGCAGTGTCTGACCGTGCAAGTGTAAAGATAATCTCTCACCCTGCTAATCGATGGACAGACAGACACGCAGCCAGATAAACAGCCATCATATATGGCTTACATACATTAATATGTTCAGGCACAYGCTCTGGAAATGTAAGAGGAAGAAATTAAAGTGGACAAATCTGTAATGCAAAATTTGACATACAGATGAAAGAGTAATTTGCTAATTTGGCCATACTTACAAAACCAATCTGCTTTTGTGAGTTCTTCTAATTTTCCTAAAGCCTCTTGGACGCTTTTACCAATAATATTACAAGGTCAACATCAATCATCATGTTACAAAGACTCCTCATCTGTGATCAAAATCATTCTGTTTACCCTGGAGATACATATCTATAAGAAATTTAAGAGGTCATCAATCATGGTCTCTCCTTCCAACGACAGAAACTTGCATTTTCTGAGAAGAACACTCCCAATGCGCTCCTCCAGGGAGAAATCAGAGATAAAACCTGGTCTTTTTACAGGTGTCCTCACATAGACTGCATCTTGTCTCTAATTCTGGAAGCTACATTAAATAATTGTTCTAAGACTGAGTCTCTGTTATATGCAGATACCTTTACCCAAGTGAAGAGATGAAAAGACATCTCTTATGTGACATCTAGGCTCTTGATTTAATTATCTAGCATGCAGTTATATAGCACAGAGCCAGTACAGAACAATGCCAGATGCTTTCATTTCCTCTTCAGTGCTCTGAAATTTCATATACTTAAATAATTCAAATTTGCACTCTTCCTAAAAACTTACATGGTCACATTTTAATTTGCTATTTTCTCACAGTATATTAGCTGTTTGTTGATGATAAAAAAATCACTTCATACTTATGCAGCCGCTTATGTGTCTTATCATTACAGTACTGGACTTTCTAGTGGAAAGCAAAACATCATCATAAAATTCAAATAAACATTTCACAAGGACCATCACACAGGATGTATCATTTTAAATGCATCTGAAAAGCAATTCTCTGAGGTGTGTTTCATAGGCAATTGCTTCCCAAATAGTTTTCCATTAGGGCTGGGATTCAAGCCACAGCAAGTGCCTTTAATCCAATTCTTCACTCGGTAAAGGGAAAAGCCTGGTTAGTAACTCCAAAAACTTCTTTCTCTGTTGCTTCCACARGAAATGTTTAACCCCACTATAGATTACCTTGAACCTAATGAACTCCTAATTCCTGAAGAAAAATCATCCCAAGGAGCCATTTATCTTTCTGTATGAGACAAGGACAGTTTTTGGCAAAAGTCACGGCCTTTTGCAGATATGGATGGCATTTTACTGTGCTCTGAAATAATCACAGAAGCAGGATCCAGGCAGTCCAAAGGCAAGAGCTTCACCCACTTCCAGGGCAAGGTGTAGGGCTCTCATCCAAGCCTGCTTCTTCCTTTCCATATGAAAGATGGACTGAGAAGGTCTTCCTAGGAATTTGTGCTGCTGTTTAGCGGGAAAGTTGATCTCTTCCTGAAAAGTCCATACTATAATATCCCACTATTGCAGGTCAACAAAAGATTAAGCAGATTTATTTTAGAAACCAGGAAAGAGAAAAGTGAGCTTGCCCTATTAGTCATTTTTTTCACTCCCACCCAAACTATTAGATAAGTCTGAGATAACGTGCTTGAATTCATTACAGTTGCTAAAGGCAAGAAAGGACTGAAACACGTGCCTCTTAATTTTCCATCTCGTGCTCTTTCCTAAAAAAAGAAAACCCCTATAAATTTCATWGGTCAGCCATTTTGCATAAAATGCTGAATTATGGAGCAGATCGAACTTATCATACTTGTCACAGCCTAGACTCCTGGATGATAGAACTGACTCCCAAGGAAGCGGCCAGTTCTCAGGATTTCTGAGTTTTATTGACATGCGTATGATTGACATGTCTAGTTTGATATGCCTGACCTTTTGGTTTGCTGTCATTAAGGTAAGTAGAAATGGCATAATGAAAGAACACAACAAATCAATGTTCCTTTGAGGGTCTTCAAAGTTCACCGATCAGATGGATTGCTGCTAGGTTACAGCCTGAAAATCCAATGTTTTGTGTTCCCCAGTGTTACCAAATGACACCAATTCTGCTGGCTGTTGACAGGTGGAATGAGGAGGGTTCACACTGCCACCCTTGGCTTCTCAGCAGCGGGGCCTAAATCAGCTTTAGGCTGTGAGGAATCCCACATAGCATCTCCAGATTAATCACACCAAACCAAATTCTTTCCAGACCACACTCCTGGGGAACCTGCGTCCACTTTGAAGGGTTCCTCAAAGGGCCACAACCTTCTCACTTACGTTAAAGTCCAAAGGTAGAAGGTGTGAACATCCCTGAGGGCCTGGGAGAGTCTCAAGCCTTGCTAGTCTTTGGGGAAGACACGGGGGTCTAAGATGTACTTGTGTTTAATGGGGAGGCCTGGCRTTAATAAAGCCTATAGCTGACAAACAAATGCTGTATCCTATAAGATCTATAGGATTCTATTTCCATGAACTAGCCTTGAAGTGGAGGTCTACCAAGGCCACCTTCATGGTCGCACCCTGGAAAGCCTCACATGCGAGGAACCTCGGGCAAGCAGGATGGAGTGAGCGTGAAGCACAAAGGCTCCCGACCGGCAGCCAGCAGCAACGCAGAGCTGCCGCCGGGAAGGGAGAAAGACCGGGAATCACGGGATCATTTCCAAGAAAGGCACTTGCCCCCRTGTAGCACCTGGCACCATGCCCACTGCCTCGCTGCCCGGTGCTGGGATGTGTGCCAAGTCCAGAGCATCCTGCTTAGCCCTCACGCACCCCGAACACCACATGGCCTGGGAAGGGCCCCCCTTATCCCAGTGCTGCACTGGGCTTCCCCTGGGGCCAGGAGCAAATGCAGGGAGCAGCCCCTGATCAGCTGCATCCCAAGATATCCCTTGCCTTCCCTGTGCCCGATTCCACATGTGTCGACCCTGTACATGACTCCCCATGCCCGATGGCTTTGGCAGGCTGCCCACAGCCCCTCGGTCTGTGGTCCCTGTGTCCGCAGCCCCCAGCAGCAGCTCTCCGTGAGTGGCCAGAGCTTCCCCTTGTCCTCGGAGACAGGAGGAGAAGAGAAACGCACTGGAACAGTGACGGGCGGGGCCAGAGCCAGGGAGGGTGCAAGGGGCACCGCAGTACCTGARATGCCGAGAGGGGGTAGTGGGAGGAACAGGGAGCCCCCGACGTGGCTGGGATGCCGCGGGGGATAGGGGGCCGCTTTGCCGGGATGCCGGGGGTGAGGGGCAGGGACCCCCTTGGCCAGGATGTGGGAAGGGGTACAGGGATTCCCCCGGCCGGGATGCCGCGGGGAGGGGCGGCGCGGGCGCGGGGCTGTCGGGGGGAGGGGGCTGCCCGTCGGGGCGGGGGCGGTGCCGCGCGTGTCACGATAAAAGCGGGGGGGCTGGGGGGGTGTAATTGCGTTTAGGCAAATGAGGCGGCCTCGGCCCTCCCCGCGCGCGGGCTATAAAGCGCCGCGCTCGCCCGCCGACGGCCACTGCGCACGGAGCGCCGCCCGCCCGCCCGCCCGAGGTGCGTGGGGTGTCTGTGGGGTGTGTGTGTGTGTTTATATATGTGTGTGTGTTATATATGTGTGTGTTATATATGTGTGTGTACCCATCCCTGTGTGTGTAGGGGGGGTGCGCGCAGCGGGACACGCGTGGGGCTGTGTGTGTGTGGGGGGAGCGGTGTCCATATGCAGAATGTACAGCGAGTACGTATGGGGGTAACCGGGTGGGTGCACCGAGATGGGTATGGACGTGTAAGCGTGAGGGTGCCTGCACGGAGGTGGGTGCGGATCCATACGTGTGAGGAGGGCTGCATGCATCCCTACGTGTGTGCATCCCAATAGGCGCTGTGCGTGCGGCCAGTGCATGCCTATAGCGACGTGCGAGGGTGTGTTACAGGCGCGTATGTATACGGGGTCCCGGGGAGGGGGGTGTATACGCCCGTGCCTCCTCGCGTGTGCGCGSTGCGCACGCCTAGGCGCGCTCCTACCTGAGCGCCGTGTCCCCCGACGCCGCCGTCCCCCGGGCCGGCGCCGCAGGTGGCCGCAGGACGCCGAGGCGGCGATGAGACTCGCGCTGGCCCTCGCCCTGCTCCTGCTGGCCTCGGCGCACGGGCTGYCCGAGGAGATGGGCGCCAGCGACGACCTCAGCTACTGGCCCGCCTGGCCCGAGGGCGAGCGCGGCAAGGTGGGTGAGCGGCGCGGCGCGGGCGGGCGCCGGGGGCCCCGTCGCTGAGCGCCGCCCGCTGCCCCCCGCAGGACGAGCTGCCGCTGCCCTTCGAGCACCTGCTGCAGAGGATGGCCCGCAGACCCCGGCCCCAGCAGTTCTTCGGCCTCATGGGCAAGCGCGATGCTGGTGAGCGGGACGGCGCGGGGGGCACCGCCCCCTGCAAACCCTCCCAAAACTTCCYTCCTCCCGCCGCCAAGCTTTGCACGGGACAAACCCCTCGGCAGGSAAATAGCCAAGGGTAAAATTGCACCACAGCGTTAGAAGCGAGGCACTAACCACAGCCCGTAAATAAATATGTGTGGGGAACGCCGCAGTGACACCTGCACGGATGCCACTAAATCATCCGAGTTCCCAATCATCGGGACAGCCGAGCGGCGCCAGGCACCCTTAGTGCCGTCTTTTATAGTGTGAAGTGCGAACCAAGAGTCTGGCAGAGACTAAAGAGATCTAAACAGCCCCAGACYCCATCATTTTAACTGAAACGAGACTTTGTAGTCTATTCAAGGAGAGACATGGTGGTAAATGATTCCCTTGATTTTCCGTACACTGAATATGCATAAGRTTTCTGTACATGTTCTTCAAAGGATCATAGAAATAGCATATGTGTATGTCAGTCCTTTCTCAATAGCTCTTTCCTTTCTTTGTCTTTCCTTTTTCATGCAGGATATGGCCAGATCTCCCACAAAAGTAAGTTTAAAATACCCCCAACATCTTAAATAAGAGATATTCAAATGGAAAACAGTATATTTTAGTGGATTGCTCAGCTACGGACTGGCAGCWCAGGTGGTCATGAGATATCCTCTCAAAGGACAGAGGAGCCAGCAGTAAAGACTCAAGCTGGTGCCTATTCTGAACCTCTATGAGCTCTGGGATTTCGGTCGCGTTAATGTGTGAATGTTGCAGCTCTTGCTTCTCTGGGGTCCATTCTGCAAACCTTTCTCATGGGCAAGGCAGGCTAACTGCCACACTCAGGCTGAAGGAATTGAGACAGCAAAAACTGGGAATAGCGAATTCCCGAATCTCTGGGCGATGATGGATTCACCTGCGGGATGCTGTGGTCGGGCCCGCAGCAATGCCGGGCTGTGAAGCAGGGCCCCGTCRTGGCACAGGCGGATCGATGATGTGCTGCCGTGTAAACAAGCCTAGTGYACACCATTAATAAGCTTGTCTGGCTTAGTCCTGTGTCGCTCCGAGGGGCAGACGGTATCAGCAGCGTGGTATTAACCTGCTGCTCACACTGACAAACAGTTTAATTCCCCACAATTACCTGAAGACTCTTAGATGGAATCTGGAAGACTTTTTAATAAGGAAAAATTGATCTTCTTGTGTTTTGGCAGCTGTCCCCAGAGGTCCATGTGTATCCTAGTGTTCTCTGTTAGTCACTAGATTTTGTCAGCGGGATTATTTATTTGAAGAACAATTAAGGAGGGTCCCGTCCAAAGCTCACGACAAATAGCTGCTGACTAAAGTGAAAAAATGATAGCCGCTGTAAACTGCTTCAGCTCTAAGGTTAATACCCGTGAGGTCTCAAACTCATTCATCTTGTGTTGTAGATGAATTAGTCAAGCAAATCTCCCTCCAAAGAGAAATTTATAAATTGGCCTCATGTCAGCCTGGAAAAAGAAGAATTGCCCCTGTTTGGTCCTTATCTGAAACTATAGCTATTGCTACATCTGATACATGCTGTAGGCCAAACCTTGCAGTAATTAATCCTCTACACAACCAGTGCCTCGAGGAGTAATAGTGGCACAGGATGGTAATATTTGAACTCATGAATATTCCAAAAATAGAGGCAGACTGTCTAGCTCAGTCATGTCCAGACACTGAGTCCCACTGGGTTCCTCTCAAATAAGGGAAGATTTCCACCAACTTGCCTGTGCTTTGGTCTAATTTTCCTAGTGATCACCCTCTCCCTGGTATGAGAATGATGTGAAAAATCATTGCGTGAGATGAACAGTTTCTGTGCCTTACTTCCTAATGAGAAGACATTATCTTAAAAACCTACCTAGCTAAAATGTATTGAAACACCTCCAGATATGTATTTTTTTTTCAGGGCATAAAACAGACTCCTTTGTTGGACTTATGGGCAAAAGATCTTTAAATTCTGGTAGGTATTCTGGTAAATCTGATATGTGGTAATGTACAGCTGCTTAATTCTGTTACCTCCTTGTTCCCTGCCACGGGATGGATGGAGCAGGCTTTATACCTGGTGCAGACCCAGAGCTCTGAAGAGGGATCAGGATATTCTTGCTTAATCTGGAGTCTCAGGGTTCAATATACTCTGATGCTTATGTGATCAGGCCTGGTTTGAGCTGCCAAAATGCACGGRAAATCAAGTAAGATTCCCCCGGGCACTTTCCCTGCTCTCCTTATCCTAGTGCTATTTATATTCTTCCAGTCTGCAAAATGATATTAAAGAAAAAAAAATTACCCGTACGTCACGAGGAGTTTGGAAGCTTAAATCRTAATGCTCATTTAACCTTCTAAATCTCTCAGCTAAAGGTACTCTTTCCCCTTCTTAGCAGATCAYTATTTTTGATAAACTCAAAGGATGAGCTGAAAGAGCAGAGATCTGCCCGTTACCACCGACTCATTTTCCGCTCAAACAGTTAAACATTCCCAGCCCCTTAGAGCTTTTAATTTTAGTAACAATAACAAACGGCACAATAAGCTTTGAATGCATCCTGTGAACTCCTGTTATATCCTGTGAACTCCCCTGTGCTCTATATAGGACAGAAACCTGCTCCTTCCTGTGAGCAGCCCATCGGGGTAATTCCGAGCTGCTGGTTACTCCAGCTTTCCTGTGCTGTAGGGTAGTAATGAGGGAAATCTCTCACAGAGAGCCATAAAGTGTCAGGTAATTCCCTAGAAAAGGAATTAAAAAAAGAAAAGAGAGAGAGAGAAAAGAGAGAGAGAGAAAAAAAAAAAGAAAACCTAATTCATGTCTCTGAAATAATTCTTGCTGCTTTGTTAAATGAATGATAAAAGTTAAATTACTAGCTGACACCTTTATATCATGTAGGTACATGCTGTGATCTATATTCTGCAATTATGGTTGTCAGTAACTTTTATTTTCAATTAAACCCTGTTCAGACTAGTAATATTGTTCCCTGCAYCATTTTGCAAATTGCTATGTATCATGAATAATTTCGTACCATCTTGTCTGTGGTGGCAATAACTATTAAATCCATAATACCTGTAAATATATGTGTTATCATAAAAGTAAATAGAGTGGAAGTGATAAATTTGGTTRGTTTCCATTGGGATTACATTTAGATTTGTGCAAGAAGGTAAGATATAGCAAAAATGTTTAAAGAACGACAAGGATTTGATTGCCCTAATTTCCAAAACCCTGGTGTAGTTAGAATATTGTTACCTGGCATTTAAGCATTTATCTCTGYCAGAGGGGAGTAATGAAATTTTACCCTGCCAGGCTACGTACCACCTGCCTGACAGGTACAACAGGAATTCACTGCTTTTCTACCCGATTCCCTGAGATAAAAATAGCAAGAAGTTGCTTCTCCTCCTATTGARGAGGAGATAGTCCCAAGCACCATGTGTGTAATCAGGTAAGATCAGGATTTTGCCCAGGATTCCWGTCCCTCCTAGCTGTTAAATGTTAAATCCCCACCAAAAAAATGCTTAACGGGACAGGAATTAGCCTCTCCTTTTCTTGATGCTATGAGGTAGGGTTTTTTTAAATTATTTTTCTGTTACTCAGCAGCCCTCTGAAGCCCAGCTTTATTACCTGTTTAGCAGAAGAGCCTGGGTCTAGCCTGGCAAGTCCTCACTGCGTGAGCCAGATTAAGCTGCTGCTGTTGACGTCTGCATGAGCTGATGGATGGGGTGAAGCACTGGGCTCTCCAGCTCTACCATTTGCTCGTGCTGGGTGCAGTTTATGCAGAGCTTCAATGTGTCTCTTTCTGTTTCGTTTTCTGCAGGATCCTCCGAGAGGAGCCTAGCACAGAGTTACGAGCGGAGGCGTAAATGAGACATTCCCGTGCGTTATTTATTAAACTTCATTTGTTCCAATGGCCCATGCGGTGCAACGTAAACTAACCACTGTATGGAGTAATTATTTATTTAATAATAATTGATGGGGGGTTGAGTTGTACATTCAATAAAATGATTATTTTTCATATTGTGGCAGCGATACACGTTGTCTAAGTGTGCTGTGGTTCTCAAAGGAAGGCTCCCCTGGAGCAGCAAGCCTGGTGATGTCTCACAACAAAGCACATTGTTTGATATGCCCTGTAAAGTTACGTTCGTTAAACAGAACCCAGATTCTTTTGTTCATGGAAAGCGATTCTCTCAGCTTCACAACAAGTGCAGAACAGAACTGATGTACAGTCTAGTGCCTCAATTTGTTTTCATGGTTTATAATGTACTGTAATTTCCATATCAAAAAATATATTTGTATCATTGCAGCATGTTTTATGTTTTGTGATGGCGTATCTATACATCTGAAACAGGGGGGAGTGGGGAGGGGCTGAATGTGAATCCAGGGTCTTCATTTCACTGTCTGGAGTTTTATGATAGTATCATTTTAAATAAAAATGACTCTGGGGATTTTGCAACATACTCTTGTTGGTGATAGTGATGGTATTATTTCCAAAACTGGTCTGGAGTGAGAAACGGATCAAAGAAATATTGTATAGCTGTGAAAAGAAGAAGAATGATCAGTTTAATGTCTTACTTCTGCTGAGGGGAYGTAAGGTTTCTAGTGAGGATCTGGTGAATTCCTTGGGGGTCTGTTAGGGGAGACGGTCATTCCCAGGGTCACACAAGGTCCTGTGCATCAGAAACCCTGCAGAAACCCCTTGAGAAGTAAAGGGTATTCTATAAAAAGAGATCAGTGTCTCCTACCGCTTCAAAGTGGAATGAYTTGCAGTGGAATTCATCTGCTATTACAGATTTGTTCCTTTAAAGATCAACTTTTAATAAATGATAGCTCTCAGATTCACAGTAAAACACATACTGACTTGAACCAATGCACCCAAAGAGGAAAAATGTGATTGTAATTACCACTTTAATTAGAATATCTGGTTACTCCATTTCTATGAGATTCCCAAAGTGCCACATACCTCTCATCAGATGCCAAAGCATCCAGAGATTTGTTTTCTTTCCACCTGCTAAAAGCTGTAGGGCTCCATTTGATGCTATCACATTAACTTTGATCACAGATGAATCACCAGTGAAAACAAAGAACAGAAACAAGCTGAGTTTCTATGCAGCACAGAGCTGTCTCCTTGTGCTTGTTCTCTACAAACGGAGAAAATGCCCTTTTCAGGTTAATTCAAGGCATCCTCCCCGAGCAGGTGGATGTCCCAGAGCAGGTGGATGTAGGGCCTTGTGCTTGGTCGTCATGCAGCCCCTGGGGGACCCTGTGCTTCAAGAAGATCCAACTTCCACCTCTGTCCTGGCTCTGAATCCTGGCATCGCTTTGCCCTCTCGTGAGGAAGAGGAGGGCTACAGGGTGGGAAGTGGAGCTGGGCCGGTGGCAGGTGACAGACTCATGCGACAGACAGGGGTTTCACTGGGTTAGCAGGCTGTCAGCTCCCCCTGTTTCCRGCGCTCATTTTCAGACTTCATGAACTTCAACACCAGCTCCTGCTGAGCTCCATGAGGAGAGCAAGTTAATTGCTGGGAAGCAGGCGTGACAAAATGAGTGCAGAAATGTGTGCTGAATAAAGTTGAATAAATTTATCAATAAATGCTACCTCCTGCACCTCTAAAGGCCACAGTGCACAGGGGTCAGAGCACGCACTGTGCGGTGACTTGTGGGAGAAATAGCAGAAAGAAGAAAGCCCCACGGCTCGCATAGCTCACCAACCTCCCCACAGCGCAAACACGGCAAGCAGACTCACATACAGCAGGAATCACATGCACCATTCACCTTTTTAAGGGTTTGGAGCACAGTATATGCTTTAATTAACAGCATCTGGCACAGAGCTGGGCCTGGATTTTCTGGCAAAACTGTTTTACCTCTGAGAAGAGGTGGACTCACAGCATCAAAATATTTCCCTGTTACGTGGCTGTCTCGAGAATGACAGCTTGTCTTAGTTTTTGGTGTCAAATTAATGTTAGGTTTGTTTTAATTTATGTTTTGAACAGTAAGATTACAACTGACATCAATATATGTGCTTGTAAAGCGTATATTAATGTACAAATAAGATAGACACCCTAAAGGACAAAGCTTAAAATGTACCACCAAAGAGATCTTAATATTTCAACACAGGTTTTCAAAACGCCTCCTTTCAGAAGATGTCAAAATCAGTAGCCTACCTCTCCAGCTTGGAACAAGAACAGGTCAGGACTCAGCAGCACTCTTAGGGAGTAGAAATTCTTAGGGAGCAGAGATTCTGCTTTACCCGCTTTGCCTCACTCTGGCCCCAAGGAGCTGCTGCATGCAGTGATTTTGCTGGGCAGGACTAGGTTCCTGGGCCAAGACTTGCCCAGGTGGATGGTCAACCTCCAGCCCTCTGGTGCTGAGCACAGGTTTCCAAGAAGCTCCTGCTCGCTGGTAGGTTCCCAGCTGCTACGTCCAGCTTGCCAGAGCCACAACAGGCAGCTGGTGCCCCTAAACGAGGGGAGCAGCAGYGCTGCAGGGCTGGTGGTGGCCACCTGTGCTGCTGCCACACCAAGAAACCTGCATTTTGCAGCATGGTGGAGGAGCCTGGTTCCAACCCATGCATACCTAGGGCAGAATAACTCCAAGAACTTTTTATAAATTACTAAAGTGATTCTTAAGAAGGCTGTTTATTCAGAGCACACCACCAACAGATCCTTCAGAGCTGCCAAGAGCCCTTACATAAAAGCAGACTTACTCCCCGTGCACTTTTAAGCTATGGCTTAAATAACTGTTTTAGCATAAGCAGATATTTAACAAGTCCCAGCACAAAYTTTTGCAGCAACCAAATTGTCGTGACGAGCGCGAACAGTTCCCTAGCCATAATATCAGAGGCAGCATTAATGAGCTCCTCTGCACGTACTGGCACAGCAGCCCATGGCAGCTCCGTCCCGGGAGTCTGGTCACGTTGCTCTGTYGGAACGAGGCAGGCTGCAGGGTTCAGCGTGTGGCTCCACGTCCTCACGGYACCTTCAAGGCAACTCACTTCGTGTAAACTGGTGTTACTGGAACTGGGGGATGTGTGCGTGGAGGGAGTTGCTATCAGCAAGAGCGCACACGTCCTTGAGCATATCGACAGCCGTGAAGTAAGGCAAGCAGAACCTTTGCACATTGTTTTCTTAATGCTTGTGAAGGAGCATAGACCAAAACAGCTGTCAACAGGAGGAGGATCTGGGCTCTATAAGCCTCATTGTGGTGTTCATTAAGTATCATCACCCTTCCTTTGCTGATATAAGCCAGATATCTACCAGAATAAAACAGGARCTCCTCAGTTCAGAGCTCAGAAACTCCTTTGGAAGCAGAGGCACAGAGAGTGCTTGCAGGGAAAATACTAATGAAAGAGTAAATAACAAAACTCACAGTAAAATGACATGGGCATCTCCAAATTAAACACTATCACTGTTTTCTGTATGTGCAAGAAATGAAATGCAAATAGACTCCTGAAAGGCCAAGAATCATCTCACATGGTGCTTCACGCTTCCACAGAAGCTCAGAGAATCCCAGCAGGGCACAGTGGCTTGGCCAAAGTTACTAACAGTAGCTAGGCTAGAAGTGCAATATATATCTTGCACCTTATTGACCACTACTATATAAAGGTGCTAGGTGAGTGCAAATAAACTTATAAGGAATAATAAGGGATAAGGCTGAATAAAAAAATTATATAAAAAAGTGCCAAAAAAGAAAAACTCTGACCAAAAAAAAAAAGGATATTTCTTCAGGAAAAGCAAAAGTTTGTTTTTGCTTCCTGCCCCCATTTAAATCATTTCCTATAGCACTATTCTAGAAATAGAGCTGTAAAAAAAGATATAAAGGCACACATCTGCACCAACATATATCAATAGACTTTTAACATAGCTTTCTATAGGAAATAATTTGTACTGAAAACATCTAACTGAGCAACAGAAGAGTATCTCTAATAGCAAACATTCCATTTTGGCACATGAAAACGGATTTTATATTTTCTGACATAATAGTCAGAAAACAACAGRAACACTGTAGTTCAGCATACCAAAGCATTCAAATATAAGGAATGTTCTTTGAAATTAACTCCTGCTTGGAAAAGACACTCATGCATTACAGAAGGAACACAGCCATAGTGTGACTACATTAGGACTGTTCATTCAAAATCAGTTATTAAATATAAMATCTATCTGGATAGGGAATCAAATAGCGATGACAGATTTCCTACATATCTGAGTGAAAAAAGAGGGTACATTTATGTCTATGAAGTTATATGGTGGGTACAACTGAGAAACCAAGTTTGCTGTGTGATAGAAGARAGAGATTCTAAAGGATATTTTAKATATACCCAGACTTATCTCTTATGCAAAGTATTTCATTTGCTATGATAGGTGTAGTTAYTATTGCTCATATGAYGAGTCCAGTGAGAGAACTCAATGCCCAAGACTCATGGGGCATTTTAGTGATATTTAATTTTAATATAATTTACAGCTGGACTATATAGCCAAGATATAACTTCTTATCTTTTCTTCTTTTGTCAAGTTACACARTATTTTATAACTTTTAATGCTACTATTTCTCCCAAAACATGCTCAAAAGACTCCTTGAGAAAGATTACCAGCATCAGGGCAGTACTGTCATAGCTCTCTTCCTCTGAAGTTTTTGCGCAGGTACCAGGTACTAGAATCACATGATTATGCAAGATTTTATTTTCCTTCTTCTGAAAATGAGATAAAATGTACAGGTTATAAGTTAAGAGGAAAATTTTGAAATGATTCTGAAAGAAGCAGGAAAAGAAATTGTAGTTGTGGTCTTTTATAAAATTTCCAATTTACATATATATATATACACACACACATATATAAAATGTATGCTATATATTTATTTTTATTTTATTTTATTTACATTTATTTATTTTATTCATATACTAGAAATTAATCACATAAATTCACAGAAAAATAGATATCACAGGTAAATTTTTGGAGGAAAATGGCTCTTCACTACAAATGATCTTCCTAAAGATTCCCTAGAGCACAACTTTTACCTCAAACTTTCAACTATTTTGTCAACTATTAGAATTCTAAAGAAGAAGCTTTCACCTTCCTTAGACAAAAAGTTTATTTTTGTACCTCTCGTCATGATACTTACTCATACAGTTCCCCTMAGAACACCTCTACGTGCTAAAATAAGTGTATTTATAAAGCACTTCAATACCTGTTTACTGGAATTTATCATAAAGATAAGAGGAGCTATTTTTTTCAAAAGAATCAAGTAACTTCATCTTCATGAAATTTTATTTCACTTGAGTCCTTCTGCAATCAAGGTAGCCCAAAACAA